AATACTGTTCGAAGGACACAGCTTTTTGCGCTAGCTTCTATCTGTGATTAAATTAAGTTAGTATCATTTTAATTCTTGTAATTGTTTTTGTTATTTCATTCTGTATTGCAAATATTTTTCATTAATAAAGAATCGGTATTTCAAGTTCTGTTATTTTTATTTATTTCTGAATTGTTCTCCAACTATTTTCGAACTAAACCTCATTTTGAAAAGCCTGAGAAATTTAAGGGTGGAGACTTCAAAAGATGGCAGCAAAAAATACTGTTTTATTTGGCAACTCTGAATTTGGCTAATGTTATGCATGAGACTATGCCTAGTGTAGAAGGAGACAATATTTATGCAGACACTTTGAAGGTTATAGATGCCTGGAATCATAATGATTTCCTATGTAGACACTATATTCTCAATGCATTGTATGATTCGTTGTATGATGTCTATGTTGTATTTAAAACAGCCAAGGAACTTTGGGAATCACTTGAGAAAAATATAAAATAGAGGATGCTGGTTCAAAGAAATTTGTCGTGGGTAAAATTTTGGACTATTAAATGGTTGATTCAAATTCGTTGTCTATCAAACTGAAGATCTCCAGAAAATCATCCATAACATTTATGTTGAAGGGATGGTGATCAATGAGTCTATTCAGGTGGCGTCTTTTATTGAGAAATTGTCACCCTCTTGGAAGGAGTTCAAGAATTATCTCAAGCACAAACGCAAGGAGATGACCCTTGAGGATCTCATCGTGAGGCTGAAAATTAAGGAAGATAACAAAAAGAATGAGAAGGGTCTGGTTTCGAGTATGGAAGCTAAGGCGAGTGTTGTTGAAGGAAGTTCATCAAAGCAAAGGCCGAAATTTCAAAAAAATAAGAAGAAGGAAAAGAACTTTGTCCCTAGTGTGAAAGGCAAAAACTTCAAGAAAATTAAGGAAAGTTGATGGGTTTATGGGAAGCAAGGCCATATGGCTCAAGAGCGTCGCCATTGAAGGGATCAAAGTCTTGGAAATCAAGGCAACAACAACTACACAAACCTGATTGAAAATGATAAGGACGTCCTAGCTGCAATGATTTCTGAAATCAATCTTGTATCTGACCACGCTAATTAGTGGATAGATACCGGTGCGACTCGCCATGTATGTGGTGACAGAAATATGTTCTTTTTCATACCAGAGAGTCGAGGGAAAAGAGCAGTTGTTTATGGGAAATGCGCATGCATCTATTGTGGCTAGAATAGGGAAATGTATTATGAAATTTACTTATGGAAATGAATTAACCCTCCTTGATATGTTGCATGTACCCGATATAAAGAAGAATCTTGTTTCTGGGCCTATCCTTAGTAATAAGGGATTCAAACTAGTTTTTTGAGTCCAATAAGTTTGTACTAACTAAGGGGGGAATGTTTGTGGGAAAGGGTTACCTTGTTGATGGATTATTTAAGCTGAATGTACTTGCTAATGCTATGAATGAAATAAACAATGCTTCTGCTTATATTGTTGATTCGTCTAATTTATTGCACTCTAGGCTAGGACATGTAAATTTTTGTTCTCTTTTTAGAATGCATAATTTAGGTTTGCTGCCCAAACTTAATTATTTAGATAATATTAAATGTGAGACTTGTATAATATCGAAATTTGCAAGTCAAAGCTTTAAATCAATGCATGAAAAATCCAATGATTTGTTAGATTTAATTCATAGTGAGTTGTGTGATTTTAGATCATATCCAACTTTTGGTGGAAAGAACTATTATGTAATGTTTATAGATGATTTCAGTAAGTATTGTTATGTTTATTTACTTCATAGTATAGATGGGATCTTATATATGTTTAAGACTTATAAGGCAGAAGTTGAGGATCAACTTAACAAAAAGATTAAAGTCTTAAGGTTCGATAGGGGAGGAGAATATGAGTCTCATGCCTTTGCTGAATTTTGTGCCACTCATGGCATAATTCATCAAACAACAACCCCCTATACACCACAACAAATGGTGTTGCTGAACAAAAAAAAAATGACTTTTAAAGACATGATCAATTCCATGTTGAATAGCTTTGGGCTTCCAAACAATTTGTGGGTTTAAGCTTTACTTACTGCAAATAAAATTTTGAACAAATTCCACCTAAAACGAGAAAGGAGTCACCATATGAATTATGGAAAGGAAGAACCCCAACATTTAAATTACTTAAAGTGTGGGGTTGCTTGGCAAAAGTACACGCCCCATTGCCAAAGAGAACAAAATTAGGGCCTAAAACTATAGATTGTGTTTTTTTTGGCTTTGCATCCAATAGTTTAGCTTATAGATTCTTAGTTTTTTATTCCGAAGTAAGTGATATAAATGTCAATGCTATTATAGAATCTATAAATGCAATATTTTTTTAGGATGTATTCCCATACGAAATGGGCAAGTCTAATTTCTTGAAAAAGAGATTACATGATGATGTATTTGAGGTTAATGACGAACCTAGAGAACATGGTGATCATTCATCCTCATCTAGAGTTCAAGAAGAAGAACTTGAACCTAGAAGAAGTAAAGGGACAAAAATTCAAAAGGACTTTGGGCCTAATTTTGTGACCTTATTAATTGAGACAGAACCTCAATCATTTAAGGAGGCAATGTCCACTCCTGAAGCTCCATTTTGGAAGGATGCAATTAACAGTGAAGTAGATTCCATTATGCAAAATCATACATAGGAATTAGTCGATTTGCCCCCTGGCAATAAGCCAATTGGGTACAAATGGATATTTAAGAAGAAACTAAAACCAAATGGTACAATTGACAAATATAAGGCTCGTTTCATGGCTAAAGGATACCGCCAAAAGCATGGTTTGGATTTCTTTGATACATACTCGTATGTGACGAGAATTACTTCAATAAGACTATTGATTACTATAGTTGCACTCCATAACATGGAAATACATCAAATGGATGTAAAAACGACATTCTTGAATGGAGACTTGGATGAGGAAATATATATGGAACAACTCGAGGGGTTTGTAGTTAAAGGTCAAGAACACAAAGTTTGTAAACTTGTGAAATTGCTTTATGGACTTAAACAAGCTCCAAAGCAATGACATGAAAAATTTGACCATATTATGATCGCATATGGTTTAAGATAAATGAGTGTGATAAGTATGTATACACGAAAGCTCAAAATAATGCTTTCATTATGTTGTGTTTATATCTAGATGATATGCTTATAATGGGAACTAACAACGAGATAATAAATTGGACCAAGAAGATATTGAAATCAAGTTTCAATATGAAAGATCGTGGTATAGCTGATGTGATTCTTGGTATAAAAATCAAAAGAAACCAAGAAGGATGTATTCTTATACAATCCCATTATATAGAAGCTACACTTAGAAAATATGGTCATTTGGAAAGTAAAGAGCCGATTACTCCTTTTGATGCCAATAGCAAACTAAAGTAAAATAGTGGTGATGTTATATCTCAACGTGAATATTCACAAGTTATTGGAAGCCTTATGTACATTTTGAACTGTACAAGGCCTGATATAGCATACTCAGTGAGTAGACTGAGTAGATATACATGCAATCTAGGGCATGATCATTGGGAAGCTTTAATTCGAGTATTGAGATACTTAAAGCATACAATGAATTATGGATTGCATTATAGGAGGTATCCTCATGTGCTTGAAGGATTTACTGATGTGAATGGGATATTCGATTGTACCGATACGAAATCCACAAGTGTATATGTATTTACTTTTAGGGGAGTAGCAGTATCTTGGAAATCTTCCAAACAAACATGCATAGCTCGATCAACAATGGAATCGGAATTTATAGCTCTCGATAAGGCTAGAGAAGAAACTGAGTGGCTAAGAGATTTTTTGGAAGATGTTCCCATATGGCCTAAACCTGTAACAGCAACATGTATACACTGTGACAATTTAGTTGCACAATATCAAGCTAAAAATAGTGTATACAATGGGAAGTCTAGACAAATTAGACGAAGGCATAATACAATAAAGCAATGGCTCTCTAGTGGTGTAATTTCTATTGACTATGTTAAGCCAAAAGATAATATTGTGGATTCGCTTACTAAAGAGGAATGGGTTGAAAGCCAATAGAGTAAAATGAAACTACCAAACAGAAACCTAACCTAGTTGATTGGAGATCTCATGGTCTAGGTTCAATAGGCAAACTAGTTTGGCTAGATTCAAAGAAGAAACACACTTACATACCCATTCCTATGATGGAAGAAATGTGGTGACTGCTAATGGTTGTAGGATACATAAGTTTAATGATATTGATACTTGTAAATCAAGTGAAATAGTAGCAGTTTATACTTAATCAATATCACCTATATGAGAGTAAATGTGGGGTCGTATTTATGAGAATTACATGGCTACATTCTTTAAAGCTCTCAATGAATCCAGGATTTGTTCAGGACCAAAAAATACACAAGGTATGAATGTGTGATGTGTTGGTGTGACATATGTTTTGCTTATTGTCTTGGTTTACTATTGTTACACCCGCCCCTGCTTATAAGGATAATTCTGTAATTCTCCCTAAAAATTTATGGAATTATCACTTTAGTCCTCATTTTTGTCACAAAACCAAGATCTGAAATTTAAATTATTACCCTATCACCTAGGCTGCCACGTGGCAGCACCCCAACTCCTTTACTTTTTCTCTTTTGTCCCCCCCCCTTCCGTGACACCTTTGTCTTCTTCTCCTTTTTCTTTTTCTTTTCTTTTCTTTTCTTTTCTTTTGGCTTGTCTGCACTTTTCTTTCTCTCTCTCTCAAAAACTCTCTCTCTCTCTCTTCTTCTTCCCCGTGAAAGACACACACACACACACACCCATTGTTGCACCTGCTTGAGGACACAACCACCATCATCATCACCAAACCTTAGCTTTCTCTCTCTCTCCCTTGCTCACGGTGCGAAGAGGGTACGAGCATCTCCGGCGAATTTTAGCTTGTTTTTCCGGTTAGTCTTGTTAGAGGTTGGTTAAATGTAGTTACTGAGATGGATTCGTGAATTTTCAAGGTTTTGGAGTGTTTTTGGCAAGGGTGGAGGTACACCCAATTTTCCGGCGAGTGCGTGTTTTCCGAGGGATTTTCTGGCCACCACAAGCCGTTACACGGTGAACCCAAGGTATAAAACTACTCCTCTCGGCTAGTGCTTCATTTTGGTACCTAGATCGGGGTCTAGGTTGTAGGTTTGGCGTCGGCCGGAGCTGTGGAAGCTCCGGTGGTCTTCTCCGGCGCACCCAGGCCTTCAGGCCGTTCTCTATCCACACCCGCGGGCCTTAGGCCCGTTTGGTCTTTGGCCCAATACCCTCACCCTTTCAGTTTTTATTTTTAGTTTATTTCTTTTAAAAACCCAAAAGGCCTTAGGGCCTTGGTTGCAGCCCAAACCCATATCCCCTTTTTAATTAGGCCTTGGGCCGTGAGGTTCAAAAACCCAAAACCCATGACCCGTGACCCTGACCCTGACCCTGACCCGTTGACCCGTTGACCGCGACCCGTTGACCGTTGACCCGGTCAACGGTCAACGTTGACTTTGACTGTTGACTTTTTGGGTTTTCGTGCGGGACCTCTCCTGGGCTAATTTCGACGTTCTGAACCCGTTTCCGATGTCTGTTTTCCCAAATTCAATCGTTTGAGTAGAGTTTGACTGAAAGTAACAATTGTGTGTTTAGGTGCGATTCTTAGCGGAGATTTCGTTACTCCTGTTTGGTACAGCTTGCACCCTCGGTGTACGGTGAGTAGACCCCTTCTAAAAATGCATGTTTTAATGGCAGAATTGCATACACAGAAAAGCATGACTTTACGTTTATGTTTTATGAAACGTTTTAAGATAATATGCTTACTGAGGCTAGTTTGAATTATTACTATTTTTCCTATAACCCATGTTCTTATAGAATATCTGATGGATGACGATATGATATTTAGAACATGTTTAGAACACTTCTTTATAGTATAGATGATGGATGACTTTATACTATGAAGTTGATTTTCAAGATATGTATGTTCACTGATTTTAGACCTACCTAGTGGTCCTTTCCGCTACGGGACGTAGGGATAGATCCGGTCCGTCCCGGGCGACGGTTTGGTGTTGGCATAGGGCCTGGAGTGTGTTTTCCTCTGACTGTCTGCTCAGAGACGGGGAGCCGGCAAGGGGCCTGAAGTGTATTTTCCTCTGACTGTGTGCTAAGAGACAGGGAGCCGGCATGGGGCCTGAAGTGTTATATCGGACATTCACTAGTGTTTATTATTTATGCGATTTATGATTTGAGACTTTGCGCGTCATGCTAGATTTCGGAAACCTATATTTATCATTATACTTGTGTTTTCATAAAACCTGGGGGTTAGTATGTTGATAACTGTTTTACTATTACTGTATATATCAACTTGGTCCACTCACCTTTGTTTTGCGCCCCCTTCAGGACCTTGGAACGAGGATTACGACCTAAGCTACGAGGCGTTCCCCTACCAGTGATTTGTGTCATATTCACTCCGCTTCGCCACCTATTGTAATAGCACTTCTTTATTCTGAGTTATGCTTGTACTCTGTATTAGAATTATGCTCTGGGCGTGCTGTGGGTTTACCTAATTTCAATATTTAGAGGTTGAACTTTTATTTGGGTTTTTAGTCTTTATTACGTACTTTAGTTTATTTTCTCAGTTTTTGTTTTAATTAAATGGTTTCGTCACCCTTCGGGTGTCGGCCAGCACGTGACCATCTCGATGTCTCTAGGACCTCGGGGTCGGGGCGTGTCAACTATGGAGATGAACAGTTCAATATTTTATATTCACTGAGTCGTCTAGTTCAAGATTTCAATTAATCAGAGTTCATTAATTTTAATTTCGGATTAAGTTTTTAATTACATATTAATTAAAAACAGTTTTGATTAAGAGACACAACTTTTAGAAAAGGGTTGTGTACTTTCAAATACATTCAACAGGTATTTGAAAGGGTATGAAACAACCTATATGTTTGCAATCTCAGTTTCCCTTAGAATCATTGTTTCTTCCTCTTTCTCTTCCGTACAAAATTCCCAAGCAATTAGCCAGAATTCTATAATCCAGTGTGGGTTGTAAAATTAGATAGTTGTATCCTGGTCGAGCAGATGTTGTAGAACCACAAGCATAAAAGTGAGACAAAAATAATGTTCGAAGGATATAGATTTTTGCGTTAGCCTCTATCTGTGATTAAAGCAAGTTAGTATCATTTTAATTCTTGTAATTATTTTTGTTATTTCATTCTATATTGCAAGTATTTTTCATTAATAAAGAATCAATATTTCAAGTTCTGTTATTTTTATTTATTTCTAAATTGTTCACCAACAGTGGTAATGGTAATGGTGGCATAAGAAGTTAAGGTTTGTAGTGGTAGGTGGTGGTGGTCACTTTATTCTCTAAGGATAAAATGTCTAGAAGGATAAATAATGTCACTTTTAAAAATTAATGAGTGTATTATAGGAATTTAAAATATTCATTAAAGGTTCAACTCCGCTTTTTCTTAAAGCAGTTTTTAAAAGCAACCTACATGTTACTTTTAAAAGCTGCAGTCTTAAAGTCATTTCTTGTAAAATAGGCAGGATATTTTATTTTTACCGAAACATTTTTTTTACTGCTTAACTTTAAAGATAAACAATTTTTAGTAAAAAAATGTAATACCAAACTGGGCCGAAGTCCTCGAGAATAAGTCCATCCCCTTCCCAAAAGTAACTTAAGTCCGTCTCGAGTGCTTGTCATGTTAGAATATGAGCCTTAAGTGCAGATGTATTTTTGTCGAATGTTTGAGTTCAAATTGGTTTATAAAGGTCTTATTGGAAGAAGTTTGTTTGTTCAACTTTTATAAATGATTGAAATTGGGAATGAATCTTGGCTACTCACTTATATTAAAACTAAGAGACAATGTTAGTTTCCTCTAAGTATTCTAGTAGGAGAATTGTAGAGATTGTCTGTCTATATAAAGGTGGCATCGAATTCTCACATAAATTTAACCGGCTCATTATTAAACTAAAATATATTGTTAATTGAGCATTAAGAATCTGATAGAGGAGAGAAGGTTATTGTTGAACATCATAGCTTCATGGCTTCTTCATCGTATTTTACAAGTCATATTATTCTTAGCATTTGCTTAAACATAAATTTAACCTGCTCATCATTTAACTAAAACCTATTGTTAACTGAGCATTGAGAATCTAATAGAGAGGAGAAGGTCAGCTTTGAACAGCATAACTTCATGGCTCCATCATATTCTACAGGTCATATTATCCTCCAAGTCGAGCCATCTATTTTGTCTAAAGTGTTATATCTTTACTTGCTACCATATTACTCGAGGGGTATCGAAATGAACTCGAGTTGTTCTCGAGGGCGTCTCAAGCAATGAGAACTAAATGATCTATGTCATCGCAAAGAAGATGAGAGATGCGAGCAAGGGGAAGAAGCAATTCTTGGCCACAAAACTTGTTGCTTTTGACAAATCTTGACCAGGAAGAGGCCAATGTCTAGCATCTAATACCATATCTTTCTTCATCCAACTTGGCAAGAAAGCTAGCAGTTCAATTCCCATCCCTATGTCTGATCATACCTTCAGCACGGATCTCATTAGAGCCTATATTTGTTTTTCATATGTATGCTTCTCTTTTTCTGCAAGGAGACTAGCTACCTTATTTAAACAACATTTTCATACCACCTGATTTGGCAACTAATATGTGAAGCCAAAGTCAGTACATGCATGCAGGATGATATAAATAACTAAAATCAACATGCATGCATGCATGCAACAAAGTATGATAAAGAAAACAAAAATAAACCCCCTTTCAAAGTCATTAACATGTACGGTTGATTTATTCACTTGTTTTCTCTAAAACAAAGTAGAAGCTGGAAGAACCATACCCTTTGAAACAGTACTTTGTTTTTCACAAAGTTATTCATCCAAATGACACTAGTAGAAAAAAACAGCTTGTGCGACGATGACAATTTCATCGTTTAAAGTGTGTTTGATCGACGAAATTAGGAACCCGTCGCGCAAATGGTGAAAACTTGACACGACGAAGGATTTTGTCGCGCAAGATATTTTTGCTCAAGGAACCAAACCCTTCGTCACACAAAGAGGAAGGAAAAAGATGGGTAAGGTAAGTTTTTAGCCCAACAAAAACTGCACGTTTCAGCCAATGTAATTACTGCGGCATTTGCGCGACGAAATCTGCATCGCGCAAAGGTCTTGTGGTTGTATTAATTGACAAGTTCTCTCTCCCTTTTACTCATAGCTTTTTCCCCAAAATCCTTTATTTTCCTTTTTTTCTTTTGCCCCAAACCCCTCATATCCTAGTTCATACGATGGCCAATTCTGACCCGTACCATCTATAAACACTAACAGAACTTGGTTTGATGTTGACCTTTACGTTTTGGCAAAACATATTTTTTATGTAAATAACCCTAAGGCCGGAAGGGGGTGGAAAGTTGTTCAGAGAATTGATCATAGGAACGTGTATGCTATACCGGACTGAGATCCTAGTGTTGACAACGACGATATCAATGTCCCTGAACAACGTCTAGAATCTTTGATAGAAATTGATGAGGAAACACTTCGGGATACTAATCTTGTCCAAGAACCATTTCAGACACTAGAAGTAAGCATCATGGTCAAACTCAAAGTAAAAAGTCGCAAAATAATCTATCGCCGTTAAAGCTCTGCTGCGACAAGCTGTTGAACGCTAGGGCTCTCTTCATGCGACTAAATTGAAGGGGCTGATTTAATTGGCTAATGGCTTTTAAGGGTAAACACGTCATTTAAAATGAGCTCATTATTTACATTTAAAAAAAAAATTTATGCATTGATATATGAATAATTAGTAAACTTTTTAGTGAATTATGGCCAAATTCCCTTTATAGAATTTGGAATGTTTATAGGAAATCTCAATCCTATATTATAATTAAATTTTGATCCATTGGCAATCCTAAATGATTCTCTTCACCTAAATCCATTTACGCGAGAAATCTTTTTATGTTGGGAACAATTTCCAGTATATCAATTATAATAATATAATGGTCAAATCGGATAAATAGTTCCTGTAGTTCTAAGGTATTCGAAAGATAACTCATATGGTAAAAAAAATCGGATTTAAACCATGTTGTATCTCTCTTCTCCCTCTCTCCCCTTTTGCTTTCGTGTTTTGGATCCCCTAACTCTCTCACCACCCCCTCTCCTCTCATCTCCTTTGGCCTCACCAATTCATTCTTCTCAGTTTCTCATTGATTTCTTCACCGCCCATGCCTCTCAATTCGCAATGGCCATAGTTCTTCAGTATTTATTTCTAAATTTCAAGTAATCTCTAATCTATTCATCCCCAAAATGTGATTTTTAGATGAAAAAATTCACGAATTTTTATTTTTCCCAACACTGGATTCCGGGTTCTTCTTTGTTTCTGAAAATTTGCATATAATTCCATCTAAATTGGCTTCCTGCTGTGATCCAACCCAGAAGCAGCTGATCAAAATTGACCTCCTGCTGTGACCCAACCCACTTGGAAAACAATTTGTGAGAATAAGACGGCTTCTCTCAGAGAAGGGGTCTTCAGCCTTGTGATGAGCAGCTTCTTAGCTAGTGCATTTCCTCCTCAGAGTCACAGTGCAAGAGTTGTGTGGCATTCCCATACAAATAAAAATCAACAAGTTAAAAATAAAATCCTCCACAATAAAATTGGTGGCATGGGTGAATTGGAATGAAGGTATTTATTGCTACTAAAACATTGATTTTCACAAAATATGAAAGTGAAAAGTACAAATTTACCCCTTCATTTAACAGATATTTAATGGAAAAATCACATTGGACTAAATTTACAAACGGACTATACCATAGGGTTGGAGTCTGAATTATTTTACCACAAAAACAATCATCCGAATATCTTAAGACCACATGAACCATTTATCCAATTTTACCTAATATAATAGATTGAAAACTCATAAAAGAGAATTCTAACCTATTGTGATATGTAGTGAGCCGTTTTTCTAACACAAAAGATTCTCAATTTACGTGTGCATACAACAAACCACCATATCGATACAAAAACACAAGTCATTGAAACTTGCTCCACTTGATCACCATTGGACCCCACTTCACCATTTTTTTCTCATTTGCATACAAAAACACCAAAAGCGACAGGCAAAACGACCAACTCCATTACTCACCACCAAATTTTTAAAAGGCTCGCCTCAAGACGTACTTAGGCGTCGTCAGAGCCGCCTAGGAGCACCTCAAGGGATATTTTTTTTTTTTTTTTGTTTTGGTTTTTGTTTTTGTTTTTCGTTTTTTGTTTTTTGATTCCCAAACCCAAATTTTGGGTAGGGTTTTAACTGTCTCATATCTCTTCCTTGCACTATCATCTCTCTACCTTTTTTTTCTTCTGATTTTTATTTTTTTATATAATAGATGTGTGTGTTATCTGCGTGCATTATTATATATGTGCTCATTGTGTTTTTATCCTCTATTATATATATATATATATATATAATATAATATATGTATATATATATGTGTGTATATGTATTTATAATATATGTGTGTGCTCAGGGTAGTTGTTGATTAATAATCTTCTTCTTTTTTAATGTAATATATGTGTACGCTTAATGTATATATTAAAAAATTTAGATCTCATAAGACTTCGACCTGGTTTGGTATTGAGGTGATTCTGAAAAAAGCTGCTATCAAAAAAAGCTGGGAGCTGTTTTTGTGTTTGGTAAACACTCAGCTTCAGCTTTTTTTCACAGTTTTGGATGAAAAAAAGCCAAAAACAAGAAGCTGCAAAACCTAACTTTGAAAAACCGACTTTTTTTGACATTTGTTTTACATAAAAGTTTACCAAACACTCTGCTGCTTTATTTCACAGCTGCTTATTCTCACAGCACAACAGAAGCAACTTTTTTTTAAAGCACATCAATACCAAACCAGTCATCTCACGCCTCACGCCTAGATTGGATTATCTCTCGAATGCCTCGCTCACGCCTCACGCTTTTAATACATTGCTCACCACCCAATTTCTTTGCCACTTCACTTCCTTTTCCTTCTAACAATTCTCTCATTTATTAATCACAAACCCTCCAAACATGTCATCAAACACCGCCATCATTCCAACCTTGCCCTACGAAGAATGCCGCGGCGTTCTCCGCGTCTACAGCGACGGCTCCATCGTCCGCTCTCCCAAACCAAGCTTCGACATCCCCGTCGACGACGACGGCTCCGTTGCCTGGAAGGACGTCGTTTTCGATCCAACCAATCAACTCCAACTCCGCCTATACAAGCCCACTGTAACGACACACTCCCCCTCGTCGTTGTCCAAAAAGCTCCCCATCTTCTTCTACATCCACGGCGGCGGCTTCTGCATCGGCTCGCGCGCTTGGCCCAACTGCCAGAACTACTGCTTTCAGCTTGCTTCCCAGCTCCAATGCGTCGTCGTTGCACCTGACTATCGCCTCGCGCCGGAACACCGCCTCCCGGCTGCCATCGACGATGGCTTCGCGGCTATGAAGTGGCTTCAAGCCCAAGCCGAGGCTGACAATCCGGACACGTGGCTGACTGATGTGGCGGATTTTGGGAACGTGTTTGTTTCGGGTGACTCGGCTGGCGGGAATATTGCTCATCACTTGGCGGTTCAGCTCGGGGCCGGTTCGGTTGAATTGGGGCCGGTTCGGGTGAAAGGGTATGTACTTTTGGTACCGTTTTTTGGTGGGACGGTTTTGACTAGGTCAGAGGCTGAGGGCCCCAAAGAAGCCTTTCTCAATTGGGAGCTCATTGACAGGTTTCAACTTTTAACCTTACCTTCACTTTTTTTTAGTAATACTATTTATATCATATTTTTATACTACATTTCTACTATCTTAGGTGACATCTGATATGGACAGTCAAATCATTTGAAAAATTTGCAAAACTCAAGGAAACGAAGGAGAAAAATTCATCGTATACCACAATCATTATTTAATTAACTAATTTTTCTTAATTATTAGTTTATTAAATAATGAACTAAATTAAAAAAAATCTGATTAATTCAAATAATGTGGCTGTCCACATCAAATGTCACCTAAGGTGGTATGAAAATGTGGTACAAAAACATGGTATGAATAACATTACTCCTTTCTTTTTGGTTTACAACTGAAGAGACAAAAGTGGGGTGTGTGAAAAATATAAATGGATGTGTAAATAACGTTATTTTTAGTATATTAGAGTAAGTAATATTTAGATTTTTAGACTATGTTAATCGATCACATAACGTTGATGTTTTTACAATACAACTTATTATATATGATTGTTGATGGAATGTCTATAATATTATTTGGCTTTGTTTTGTTGTTAGCAAATGCAAATGTGGAAGCGGTAAAATAAACACAAGATTTCAGGTGCATGTTGAAATATTTACATTAGTTGTGTAAGAGCTTGCTTACGAATGGTTTTTTGGTTCAAAAAGGCACTTTTGATGTTTCATGTTTTTATGTATACATGTGGTGATTGTATTAAATACATATATATTCATATAAATTAGATGCGACAATTATATGATAATGGTACTAAATACATGTAAGTATTGTAATCAATTCTAAACTTAAACTAAACAATGGTAATTAAATTAAAAAAGAAAAGAGGTTTGTGTATGAGAAAATTAAGATTAAGCATGCATGCAGGTTTTGGAGGTTGTCAATACCAATTGGAGAGGACAGAGATCACCCACTTGTGAACCCATTTGTGCCAAATAGCCGGAGCCTAGAAGGAGTGGCTTTTGATCCGATCCTAGTGATTGTAGGTGGAAGCGATCTGCTCAAAGATCGAGCTCAAGATTACGCAGATAGGCTCAAAAATTGGGGAAACAAGATTGATTGCGTGGAATTTGAAGGACAGCATCATGCTTTCTTCACCATCCAACCCAATTCCCAACCTGCAAAGGAGTTGATGTTATTCATCAAACGATTCATTGCTCAAAATTCCACTTGCTGCTAAGACATGCATTGCAGCTATGGCGGCCATGGATCTAAGATTCTAAAACAACAAAAAAGCTTTATAGTTGTTGGACATTTGATAAACTATTTTTTTAAAGGGTTGTGAGTATGCAAAGCAGTGTAAAAATGTTTGGTAAATTTTAATGTAAAAGTGATATAATTGTGAACCCACCATCCCTTGTAGATAATATTGTTTATTTAAAAAAAAAGTCATATAGTTGTATGTAATGACAAAAATAGACATGATAGTGTGGTGATGACGATGATGACGGTGACGAGGACAATGGTTGTGATGGTGGTGGTGATGGTGCCAATAAGGGGGTGTGGTGGTTAGGCTGTAGAGGTAACAATGGTGATTGGGAGTAGCGATAAGAACGATGATGGTGGTTGTGGTTGTGGTTTGGTGACAGTAGTGGTGGTTGTGTTTTATGGTGGTGGCGATGGTGGTGAGGTGGCAACCACAATGGTAGTGGCATTTGTAGTGGTGGCTGATATGGTTTGTGGTGAGGTGGTGATATAGTAAAACAGCTTTTAGTGAAAAAAAGTAATACCAAACTGGGCCTTCGAGAATAAGTCCATCCCCTTCCTGAAAATAACTCAAGTTCGTCTCGAGTGCTTGTCGTGTTAGAATATGAACTTTATGTGTAGGTGTATTTTGGCCGAATGTTTGAGTTCAAATTGGTTTATAAAGGTCTTATTGGAAGAGGTTTGTTTGTTCTAATTTTATAAATGATTGAAATTGGGAATAAATCTTGGCTTACTCACTTATATTAAAATTGTGAGACAATATTAGTTTCATCTAAGTATTCTAGTAGGAGAATTGTAGGGAGCGTTTGTCTATATAAAGGTGGCATCTAGTCTCACATAAATTTAACTGGCTCATAATTGAACTAAAACCTATTGTTAATTGAACATTAAGAATTTGATAGAGAGAAGGTCATCTTTGAACATCATAGCTTCATGGCTTCTTCATCATATTTTACAGGTCCTATTATTCTTAGCATTTGCTCAAACATAAATTTAACCGGTTCATTATTGAACTAAAACGTATTGTTAATTGAGCATTGAAAATCTGATAGAGAGGAGAAGGCCAACTTTGAACAGCATAGCTTCTTGGCTTCATCGTATTTTATAGGTCATATGATTCTACGAGTCGAGCCATCTATTTTGTCTAAAGTGTTACATATTTACTTGCTACCATATTACTCGATGGGTGTCGAAATGAACTCGAGGGCGTCCCAAGCAATGAGAACTAGATGATCTATGTCATCACAAAGATGATGAGAGATGCAAGCACGGGGAAGAAGCAATTTTTTGACCACACAACTTGTTGCTTTAGACAAATCTTGACGAGGAAGATGCCAAAGTTCAACGTCTAGTACTATATCTCCTTCATCCAACTTGGCAACAAAGCTAGCAGTCCAATCCCATGCACGCACGCACGCATGCATGCATGATGATATTAACAACTAAAATCTACATGCATGCACGAGTGCAACAAAATAAGAGCAGAAGCGCGATGAAGAAAGCAAAAATAAACCCCCTTTCAAGGTCATTAATCTTACGGTTAATTTACTCACTTGTTTTCTCTTAAACAAAATATAAGATGGAAGAACCATGCCTCTTGACACAAGTACACTTATTAAACAAGTACTCATCATCCTTCACAAAATGATTTTACTCAGAGTAAGTTTAGAATGAAAATTTTCCCTTGATTATTCTAACACAAAATGATCACTTTGATTATTCACATCATAAATACTCATCATCCTTCTAAACTTTTGGGTCCGAATAAAATTTCCCTTAATTATTCCAACACAAAATGATCACTTTAATCTTAAAATAGGGTGTGCAGAGTAAGGATAGCCAACGAGAATATAATGACCTTTTTGCCAAAGAAAAAGAGTAGGACCGCTTTGCTCTGTATTTGAATGGACTTTGTAATGCTGTAATGCTGTAATGCTAGATTGGTTAAATTTGTGAACAAAATTTATAAAATTAAGTGTTATGTCACTAATAAAAAATAAACATGTTAATCTAGTTGACGAAATTTAGTCTATGAATTTACACTCTCTTTGGATATGGAAATTTAAGATTACTAAGAAATTTTAAAATGACGAAAATTAGTGTTTGTCAATTTATAAATTCTAACATTTTTTTTCCTTCACAGTGATTGACTTAAAAATAAAATCTCACCACAGATTTGATTTTAGTGAGAATAAAACCTAAAATCTTTCACGATGGGTTTCGTGAACATTTTGATTCTAGAATTCAACTGTCCAAATACTTGTATAACTGAGATCATCCAGAACGTCCATCAAAACCAGTATTTACCGTCCGATCGCCTCTCCCAAATTCAAATTCAAATTCACTTTCACCCTAACCCGTCCCCCCCAAAATTCAAATCGACTTCTCCTCCAATCTGGTCATCTCCCCTCTACTCCCACACCAACACCTCCATCTCCACTCCCTGACCCGAACCACTCACTTTGCTCCGACCCGAAATGCCGTTCTTATCGGACACCGCCAGCGCCATCAAGACCCGCTTCGGGTTCCACGACCACTCTTCAGACCCGGTCCGGAGCACTCCCAGTCTCCACAAATCCGCTTCCAAAGAGAGTTTCTCGGCGCTACGGAGCATCGGAGACTGGGACGACGATGATGACGACGGAAAAGCCAGTGCCGCTACGACTTCCTCAAACCAAAGCTTCGAGTTTCATGAAGACCCTTCCTTTTGGAAGGACCACAACGTGCAGGTACCTTATACAAAGAAACATTAGTTCTGTGGATTTTTTTCGAAATTAATTTTATTTCTTCCAAATGCAGGTTAATTTGTGCTTATAATCTCATATGCTTCTCCGATTCGTATTAATTTTGATGTAGTTTTGAGGTTCCTAAATCTCGAAATCATATTTCTAGCCTTTTGTTTTAGAATTGAAGCGCTTAGAGTAAATTTGTTTTGGTTAGGTTATTATTCGGGTTCGTCCGCTTAACAGCGCTGAAGTATCAGTGCAAGGCTATGGCAAATGCGTTCGACAAGAGAGCTGTCAGACAATTACTTGGACTGGCCATCCAGAGTCACGGTTTACTTTTGACATTGTTGCAGATGAGAATGTTAGCCAGGTTAGTTATATCATTTGGCCGTGCTTCTTCATTTTTGCGGCCTTTTGTTTCCATCGGGTGTGTGCTTTATTGAGGTTTGTCATATGCAGGAGCAACTGTTCAAAGTGGCCGGGTTGCCGATGGTGGACAACTGCATGATAGGCTATAATAGCTGCATGTTTGCTTATGGCCAAGTGAGGGTTCAACATTTTCTGTTTCCATAATAAAAGTTATTCTTGTTTATGTGCGTATGTTCTCGGTGATTAGTTTGTCTTTGAAAGGATATTTGGAGGTTGGAGGATGTGTTTTCATATGACTTTAACTGTGTCTATGCAGACTGGAAGTGGGAAGACCCACACAATGCTTGGAGATATTGAGGGAGGCACCCGAAGGCACAGTGCCAATTGCGGGATGACACCTAGAGTATTCGAATACTTGTTCTCGAGAATTCAAAAGGTGTGTGACTTGTAGAACTAGTGGTATAATTTTGATGCTGCAACATTTTTATGGGGCAATTTTTCAGTATCGGTCCCAGCAATTTTTCAGTATCAAATTAAGAAATCCACCTAACTCAAAAAACAGTCATCTTTAATCTAGCATGAGTATAAGGTTGGCTACATGACTCACTTTCCACCATTTAGTACTATTCAAAGCTGACAGTTAGATGGGAGTTGCACATCGATTCTTATCTATGTTTAATTCATTACAAGATACTAATGCATCTTTCTTTGTTTATTGTGGTGTACCAGGAAAAAGAGGGTGGCCGAGATGAGAAATTAAAGTTTATATGTAAATGTTCTTTTTTGGAAATATACAACGAACAAATTTTAGACCTTTTGGACCCTTCATCTAACAACTTGCAGGTAAAGATCACATACAACAGAGAGTTTTCTGTTTCTACGGTATCAATAAAAATATAATATATGACTTCGTTGTGAATATCATGAGCATATTGCAGATCAGAGAAGACATAAAGAAAGGAGTTTATGTGGAAAATCTCAAAGAGGTTGAAGTGACAAGTGCTCGAGATGTTATCCAACAACTTATTCAAGTATATAAGACCTCTTCTCAATGTTCTTATATCATTTAAGCTTTAAACATTTGAATTAGTAATTTGTATAATAGTGCTTTCCAGTCATTCTGTGAATCTTTAATGTTGTATTTTGATTGATAGAAAAGTTTGTCTTTATCTCTTGCCGAATTTGTGGGCACTTACTTTTCTGCAGTGAATTTGCATTATTTACCAAACTCCATTTTGTTACAGGGTGCAGCTAACAGAAAGGTAGCTGCTACTAATATGAATCATGCTAGCAGTCGGTCTCATAGTGTATTTACATGCATCATTGAGAGTAAAGTGAGTGAATTCTCTGTTTTCTATTTACATTTCCTTACAAAAGTTTAATAATTTTGGCTTACTCTTCTTCTTTCTTTTCCAAGTTTTGGTTAGTTTGAGATTTTAATTGATCTTTTGTTATCAGAGGGAATGCCAAGGAGTAGCTCACCATCGTTTTGCTCGTCTTAATCTTGTTGACTTAGCAGGATCTGAAAGGTAAATGTGAATCTTCAATTCAAGGAAAGTGGTTGGTGGTAAATAGAAGGATGTTATTGAGTGTTCAACCTGCCTCTATATGTAGTAATAAAAGGGAAAGGAAGAGATATGATAAAATGTATGCTGTAAGAAGCTAGTTTTTATTCAGTTCTTTGCTCTTTTTGATAAAGTGTGAATCTCTGGGGAAGTATGACTCACCGTATCTATGCATTGGTCCCAATATCCATACCGGAAATACTTCATCATTCATTCGGTGCCCGCAGTGAATAAAAGTGTCCAGTTTATTGATATGTCTAAGTGTTCATGGCAGGCAAAAGAGCTCTGGAGCTGAAGGTGAGCGTCTAAAGGAAGCAACAAATATTAACAAGTCTCTTTCAACATTGGGGTATGTTTTCTCTAATCTTTAGCCTTTTGTGGTTAAAAAAAATCCTAAAAATTTGGTTATCGTTGATGCCAAGTGCTAAATAAATTAAAAATTCATTTTGTTGAAATGAATTTTATATTTTCAGACTTGTGATTA